TTCGTGGTCCAGTTGGTAAATTGTTTATGTTATTTGGTGAACTGTCTGGAGCACCTTTTGATGGGACACCAGCCTGTGAGTCGGTTGGTAATTGACTTTTACCATTCGGTGTACTATTCGGAGCACCTCCCGTTCGTGGTCCAGTTGGTAAATTGTTTATGTTATTTGGTGAACTGTCTGGAGCACCTTTTGATGGGACACCAGCCTGTAAGTCGGTTGGTAATTGACTTTTGCCATTCGGTGTTTTATTCGGAGCACCTCCAGTTGGTAAATTGTTTATGTTATTAGGTGAACTGTCTGGAGCACTTGCGCTATTCTGCGATTTAATTGAAGATAGTCTATTTGGTGGTTTTTTGTTGGGATCCACATTTTCGATATCCAGAGGTTTTTTTTGTTCTTGATCCGCTATGTTGACTAAATATAATTTTGCAAATTTTTCTAATGCATATAAACGTTCTTTATATAATTTAGGTTTACGAATTGATTGTGATCGTGAAACAAGTGGTATGACTCTTGAGAATTTTTTTCGTAAACTGTTTTTTGTTTTACGTCCACAACATGTCGTTTGACATATTCCCCATGGTTCTATAACGGACCGACCTATATAAATATGAAGAAAAATAAAAATAAATATAAATATGAACGGTGTGTATGGTTGTGAGGTTCAAGAAGTAGTTCTTACCAAACAGGCATACGTAAATTCCTACAAGTAAACCGTAAAACGCGGCTAATAACGCGAGTGAATCCGAGACCTGTATTAGAAAGGTTTATGTAACGTTTGCTTAAAAGTCCTGACGATGAAAAAAAAAAAATTAAATAATGGCATTAACACTCACATTAGAACTCCTACGATTAAAATTTTTTTTTTTTTTTGAAAAAAAAGAAGAGAAAGAAAATATCAATATCTTATAACAACAAATATTATAATTTAGTTACATATCAAAAAGATATAAGATTATTTATTTTCTCCTACCTAACTTCAGATTGAATTTCTTCCGTCCAATCTACGGTACCAACGAACAAACTACCATATGTAGTCGGAGTAAAGCTCGATACTACTCCAGGAACTTGTATCGATTCTATAATAAATCTATTAAGACAAATGTTCTTTCGTATATGCGTATAAATAATGCATGCTAAAAAAAACCTACCATATCTTGATTCAATAAAAGGTTGTGGAAAATATGCCGGCGGTACGCCTATTACTGTGAAAAATGTTGGAATCTGAAATTTTTTAATTTTTCTACTTATAAACATCCTATTAGCCTGTATAACATAAAAAAAGTAAATGTTAAAATCATTAAAATGATAAAGGAAGGAAAATGTGATCTTGTTGTGAATAAATTACCTGCTGATAACCAATAACATGAAAATTTTGTTCTTCCAATCTTTCCATAAAATGTGGATCTAGACTACTAATTGTTTTTTTAACTGAATCAGGCAATTGAGTAGGAACGAACACTGTAAAAACAAAATAAAGATGAATTTTTCTTTTTCTTTTTTTTTTTAAAAAAAAAAAAATAAAAAAAATAATAATAGAATACATTGATCGTATGCTCTAACTTGCATTCCATTATCATCGGTAGCATTATATGCTTCATCAGTTATAGTGATTAGAAAAGAAATTCCATATCTTTTATCAGGTAAACTAAAATTAAAACGATCTTGAATTTGAGGATAGAATAACCCCGTGCAACGTCCTTTGGACGTGTTACTTGGATCTAGTTCTTTACATTCCGTTGGTACGATATATTTGTTACAATTTGCTATATCTTCTTCGGTCGGTGCTCGAAGATCTACGAATGAGGGGGGAAATAAAAGAGGTTTGGTTAAAAGTGAGTTGCTAATGAAATAAAGGATTCGTGATTGAGGGTCATCGAATGAATTTCACATTGAATTTACCAAGATAATTGATTTCGCATGACATGCTAAATTCGTATTTTGAAGAAATCTTTACAACTTTAATAAAGAAAGAAAGAAAAAAAAGAAAATTCAATTAATGAATCGATTTATGACGCGTTCGAAATATAAAAAATTTCATCGAGTTTCTTGCATTTTCCTCTTCAATATTCAACATGCACGTACCAGGTACGGGAACATATGGTGTAGCGATTAAAGATTTCATTAAAAATGCATCATCGGTAGCAACAAGGAATGTTAAAATAATTCCATAAATGAAAAATATGACTAATAAAATTGTTAAACATAATCCTCTTAGAATTACTAATGGACTATATTCAGTAAATCTATATTTGTTTATTATTTCTCGAGGTTCATGAATAAATCTCGTCATTTCGATTGATTATTTATGATTTTAATAATCTTTGAGTAAAAAAAAAAAAAAAATTATACTTTTTTTCTTTCAATCTTTAAATTTTCAAGCCGTTACAATCATCAATAATCAATGATCAATTTTCTTTTTGATTAAAAAAAGAATTGACCGGCTGAAAAGAAAGAAAGAAAAGAAGTGCAAAAAACATTTTCCACATTATGATTATTTAAAATCAAAAAAAAAAAAATCTCAATGTAACATGTAACAAAAAAAAATCAAATTAATTTGATTTTAATTTAAAAAAAGATTCGGAGAATATTGTGCCGATTAATTCCCATTTTTAAAAAATTAAATATATACTCTGCATGGAAAAAAGGGGTTCACATTCACTAGACACTAGATCAAACGAGGAAATAATGAATAATATTCCATTTTCACCACAATATGTAAATAAATAAATGATTAATTGGAAAAAAAACTTTAAAAAGAAACTAGGCAAAAAAATTATTCATGATTAATTGTTTACACAATATAAATGTAAATATATGCTCTGACCTAGAACTAATATTAACTTCTTACATGTCACAAAACAGCAATTCGGAAATTCGTGTCAACGAGAAAATAATAACTTTCGAATTTTCATTGGTTAGAACAAAAAATATATCGGTTTTTGCCAAATTATACGTTTTTCCCTTTTTCATCAATTGGACAATGCGAGTGTAACAATGAATGAGGTAGAATATCAAAGAAATAATTGATTTTAGACAACGGGTGTCGGGTGGAAACATTTTAGGAAAAAAAAAATTGTGTTTATTAATATTAATTAAGTGTTTGGCGGGAAATCGACATAAATATTCTGATAAAGAAATCATAAATAACTTTTCGTGTAAATGTATTACGATAGATTATGGGCGATCGTTAGCATATAATATGTCGTACTAGGTCATATAAATGATCCTAAATTGAACTGTTTAATGAATTCGATAATGAGTCCTACCAATACTTCATTAATTCCGAACCTTTATGTCGAAAAAGCGTATCTGATAAAATCATTCCGTTAATGGTAACCTACAATTAAGAAGATCATCAAAGGCACACTTTTTGCCAACATAAATAATAATTGGTACCTTTAATGACAAATAGGGGTAATTTTAATCCGCAACATACTTCCGAGATATGATCGTGTAACATAAATAATTATTCAGATAAACTTGGTAAATAAAACAACGGGAAAAACCTTTGTTCCTCAAACGCCAATCTACAGGATTTAAATTTGGAATTCATCCAGAGTTTTTTTTAGTACATTAACTTTATAAATAAAAATTTTACATCAGCTCCTATGCATGACATGATTGTTTATATTTTGAAATACCTTCTTTTTTTTTTATATTAAAAAAAAAATTCTTTTAATATACGATTTTTCATTAACACAAGGCTTTCACCGCCTCTCTTTCCTGTTTCTCTCAACTTGGTCTAAAATTTCCTTTAACGGCGGCTCTTTTGTATGTTCATTAAGGAATTTACTAGCATAATATCACAGAATAATTGTACGTTATAAAGTAAAGATATGGAATTCGTTCATGAAACATCGGATATTATTCGAAAATATCGAAAATCAGAACCTGGTTTATTAGTAACCTCAAGAGGAATTTTGTTATTTATTCTTGTGGCTTTGTTAGGAGGTTATTTTGCTATCTCGACAGCATGGATGGTATTAGATAAGGGTATCATAGTGAGCCAATTAAAGCCCGCTACAATAATACCTGTTCCAGGTAAGTTCACACAATTTATTGCTCTGGTAATTCGCCGTAGAAATTTCCGAAGATTAACAAATTTATTCGTTCTTTAAGACGTAGAGATTACGTTTAATTATCATTTTAACATAGCATGTGAACTAAGATATCTAGGTAATGATAGAACTTTCTCTTGATTGACTCTTTACCTTCATATCCTTCCCCTTCCTCTAATGTTACTTTTTTTCTATTAGATGGAAGTCCATCAAGACCATGTGACGAAGACTTGGTTACGCAACCGTCATGTGACGAACTTTCCGAAGATAAACGATGGCATGGCTGGTTTACTTCAATTGACGGTCGGGTAAAATTTAATCTCACCGAAAATTTATACGGTGTTTGGTTTACGATAAATATTGATGATCCAAGATATCAGAGAGATCTTGATGCGGGAATGTTTGTCAAAGTGCATGATTCGGATTTTAATCCTCGTACTGTACCACAAAGCGTTCATGACCAAGCATTAAAAATTGATCCAAATTTTTATGCTAGATTGGATGAATTGAATTATCATGTTATTGGATTTCATCAGGTAAAAAAAAAAAAAAAAGAAAAAAAAGAAAATAGAAAATTTAAAAATTTAAAAAAATTAAATCTTTTTTTTCTTTTTCCGTTAATATAGGTTAATTGGATGTTTATAAATAGGCATATAAGAAAAAAAATGATCCCATCCTTCTTTAATGTTTTGGGTATTCCACCATCGTATTTTGAAGAGGCTTATATAACTTCTAGATATGGTTGGTCATCGAATTATATTATTATTTATCTTTAAAGGAAATAAAAGTGTATCACTTTAAACATGATCGTCTAATTGTCATTTCAAGAATCCGTCACAGCACCCGACACCGTAGAATTCGCTGGACAGCCAACAACTGGTCCACAGAAATATGCCAATCTCTTTATCGGAACCTTGAATTGGTTTGAAGAAGTTGAAACTGAATCCAGGTAAAAAATTAATATTATTCTCTTCATTATAATTATACATATAAATCTTACTTTTTTATCATTTTTAATTAAAAATTAAAAAATTAGAACGCGCCGCGTAAGTAATTTTTTTTTTTCTTTAAAAAAAAAAGTTTGGAATTTATCTATCATTTTAATAAATTTTGATTTTGATTTATTTAGATTTTGGATTCATTGGGCATGGTTGCTGGATTTTACGGTTTATTGGCAGGAATTTATATTTTACTATTCGGTAAGTTAACACGTAATCCTAATCTCCTAAAAAAAAATAGTCATTTAATTAAATTAAGTCAATCTTCCTTTATATCTTTGTAGGTTACTCACCAATTCTTCCATGGGGATTATGTCAAAATTGTTTTTTGCGAAAACAAATTAAAGATGACCTTCATGAACAATATCCAAAATCAATTCCTCTTATAGAACCACCAAGTATTGATAAAACCGTAACAGAGAGAATAGATGATTTAGAACGATTTTTAAAACAATTCATTTGCGATGTTGATTATATGGAAGAACTTGTAGAAGATGAAGAAGCTGAGGAAGAAATGGATAACGAGCATGGTGGTGACGTTGAAGAAGAAAATGTCGATGAAAAAATAATTGAATAATTTTTCATTAACAAAAATTTCACTAAAACTTAAAAAAAAAAAAAAGAAAATTATGAACTTTCTTCTTCCAACTTTTTTTTGATTTTTTTTTTTTTTTTTAAAAAAAAAAAAAATACATATTAATTCAAATTTATTTAATGTACTATATTCACTTTAAATTTATATTACTGTAATTTTTTAATTTAGAGGACTATGTATAAGTACGCTTGTATTTGTAAAGAAAAAAAAATTTCATTTAATATTTTTATTGATAACTAATAATTTATATAATAAAAAATCGAATTCTCGCAGATTTATTACTGCCACTTAAAATAACAAATTTCCTTAAATATGATTATGGTCCATTCCGACGTTTAATTCTACTGCTCCAAATTCATGAAAATTCGTTGACCACGAAATTGTTTGAAAATTAATAAGAAATTTTATGTGTTGCTTGTATCATTATACAACTATAAATTGGCAAGAAGGAAGTATAATGATTCAACAACCAAATGTTCTTTTTAAAGATTGGCTCTTTTATTATTTTGATATCTGTTGATTTTATAATTACCAAAAAGACAAATTATTAAAATGTTCTTTTTGCGATTATTTGTTGGAAAGTAATCGAGGGTATTAGTTGAAGTTCATTGGAAGAAGTTGGCAATCGTAAAGATCGTAATGACGTACGTATTGTAATAAAGATGTTCTATTCGCTTTCGACAATACACTTTTGTGAATATATTGAAATAGCTTTGTAATTCTTGTCATCGTTTGTAGAAAGAATCGGAAACGAAAAATTAAATGGTTAATATCATATAACGATAACTTTATAATTTTTTTAGCAAATTCGCAAAATTTTTATTTGTAGTTTAATTCTAATACTGTAATATAACAGTTTCAAGCAAATAAAAACATGGTAAGGATACCAAGTTTCGAGTAATGAAAAAAATAATGTTGAAATTTAATATATATAAATAAAGTATATGCTATTATAATTTTCATATAAAGTCCACGATTCCGAAAGAATATAATTTGCAATTCAAAGTTTAAAATGATCTGGTAACAAATCTTTAAGTATAACCTTTAGATAAGATCTATCAGGCTTAATTAGGAAAATTTGAAGATGTTCACCAAATTCAATCATAAATTGTCTTGTATAATTAATTGAATGAAAATAATGAATTTAATTTTAATATCTTGATTAGATCATAAATTTTTAACTTGGTCTTATAACTTACCGACAAATTCCGCACGGTCTTGTGTATTCGCTGGCATCCCTAAATAAAAAGATTAGTAAGATGATTTCACTAGAAAATATAAATCAATTTGCTTAAAAACTTACGTGGATACGCCGATAGCAACGAATTTTCGTTGACCTTCGCTCTGTTGACAAATCATATTTTAAAGACACGATAAATAATAATAAGGTAAGCTCAAAAAAAAACTTACTATTGCTTTCACAAATGCGGTGCGTTCTGCGCATATTGTGCTACCTGATCAAACGGACCTAGTTAGTCCGATTTAGCCACACAATTTCCATTAAAATACTAATTCACGTACCATAAGAAGCATTCTCAACATTGACGCCTAAATATTTCAGGAAAATAATTTAGCCATTCAAAATAAATGTGGGGGGGGGGGGGGGGATTTAATGATAAATAGATACCGGTATACCAATTCCCATTCTCATCAAGAAGTGCAGCACCAACATGGAATTTCGAATAAGGACAATAGGCTTTATCTTTGGCTATTGTATATCATGACTTTGTGAGATATTTAACGAGAGGAAATCTAATGAACTTTTATCTTAATACCTTTAATTGATAATTCGATGAGTTTCTCTATTTCTGCTTTAGTAAGTTCTCGTTTAGACATTATGAGAAAATTTTTGAAATTGAAAGAAAAAAGAAAAAAAAAAAGGAGAGGAGTGTGTTTTCCATTTATATCAAATGTTTATTCTGCTGATCACACTATTTATGGAAAATAATTAAACCATAAAAATAATTAAATAGAGCTATGATCGGATTCGTCTTCAATTCCCATATATTTAAAAGCACCATTAACCATTTCTTCAGCATTTTGGAGACTTTTTTCCATATATTTGGTAATAGAAAATTTACTTCCAGGCGATGGAATTAATAAAGGACTTTTTATAACATTTGTTATTCGTTCTAAATATGGGTTAATTTCAACTTTAAGGTTTGCTATCGCACTATTTAAGAATAAATTTTTAGTTCGGAATTTAATGAATGAAGGAATTCCAGAGGGAAGTGTTTTACGTTACCTTGTGGCCATTGTGGCACAAACAGATAAAGAAGATGGAGGTAAAGAATTTTCATCTTCAACTTCAGCATAATCTTCTTCAACTTCGGGACTTAAATGAATAAAAGTTGTATTGCCGGCCTTAGTTTCTTTTTTCATTAACATATCACATACTTTCTTCCTTTCATATTTGATTTGTGGAAAATTCGGTGAATCCACGTGTGCCACATGAAGAAAATATGTATTATTTCCTATTAATGGGACCTTTTTTTTTGTTTCAACAAATTCATATAAGTAAAAGGAAGAAAAGAATATTTTTGTATGTCTTTATTGTGATAAACTTACACTCCAACCTATAAGTAAAAATAATCGATTTTTTAATTTCCTTTCGTCAAGTAAAAGTTCGTAACATAATATTCCCTTCGTTCCACAGGTAACTTTACTCTCAAATGCCCTATATTAAATCCGAAAAATTAATCCAACGTTCGTTATCAATATATCAGACGGCATAAAATGTTTTTATTACCCAACACCCCATTTACCAGGACCGATAGTTATCGTAGGAGCATTAAAACAATCAGTCTCGGACCAATATTCCATGTTCCGTAAATGATAATGCGAATGATTATTTTCCACTGAAATGGTTAATCCTCTGGTCAATTGTTCTCGGATCGTGCTAACTGTTTGAAGAACCGACGCTGCTGTATCGATCGACATTATAACGGAAGAAAAATACGTTAGGAGAGAAGAGGTTTAGGTGATAAAGTTACATTTATATAGTCGTTATAATAGTTGAATGAAACTGTAACTGTACTGTAACACAGGCGATCAATTCTCGAAATGATTTTATTGAAATGAATTCTTTACATGTTAAGATGATAAAAAATTGTAACCATTAACTAAAGCAGCAAAGGTTAAAACAATTAAATTTATAGAAACGCCAATAGGTCTCCATTTGTTGACGGCAAGATGATTTGCAAAAAGGTTAAAAGCCAAATCCCCATGAATTATTCGTCCCAACAACAAATTACCACAAGCTACATGTAACCAGAATGGTGAAATATAATTATTTACTTCAATAAAAAATAATAAAAGTAATGCCAAGGGAACATTTTCGGCAAAATTTCCATGCGCTCGATTATTCCTTTGAAAATGTCTAAATTGATTATAATCCAATTTGGATTTACTGAGTGGGTTTTCTGCAATCATTTGAGTGACGGAAGAATCGACTGATGATTCTGAACGTCGTTTTTCAACGCCTGAAATGTATTCAAGTGTGCTATAATCGATGAAAGAACGAAGAGATTGATGTTAATCTGATTATTCAGAATATATATATATATATATTTTGTTAAAAAAAAAAAAAAATTTCAGATACTAACCCATCACCAAGAGCTACGAGATATTTTCTACGTACAGATATAGCACGGTACGTTAACAATAAATAATATAAAGTCAAAAGGCTTGCGTAAAATGGAACGATTTTATAAGAAATTCTTTCAATCATTTTTTTTTTACTTTTCAATTGAAAAAGAAAGAAAGAAAGCAGTTAGCTTTTATATCTAGGATTTATGCAAGACCATTCATTGATTATTCAGCAGAATTCAAAATTTATAAAAATTTATCCGAGTTATTTATTATAATTTAGCCGATATAATCTACATTTTCTAAAAAGTCTTTCTGCTACACTTTATCATCCAAATGTCATATTTAGATAAAGGTGTTATTCAAACTTTAAATTCAATAATAATAACTTGAATTTAAAATTCATAATGTTCATTATAAATATAATGAAACATTTAATAAGAATAAAGTTTTATAAAAAGATTTACTAAAGTTATACATATTGCATTAGTAATCTATATGTATTAAAATTTAAATTCTTTTATTATTATTAAAAAAATAACTGTATACCGGGATTTAATCTAAATATTAAACTCGGTTTTTATAAATGTAATCCCTTAAATATTTTTACAAATAGAAAAGGTATTTATTAAAAATAAAGAAATAAAATCATACAATTGATTTTCTTAATTATATTAATTATATAAAAAAGTGTTTATATAGAAATATAATTTATATTTTAAATAATTATAAGTAGTAACTTTGAAAATTCTTTTTATTTTAAACAATAAACACTTTACACAAATCCCTTTTTAAAAGTATGTTTAGTATAAATTATTAAAAGGATATTTATATAATTCTAATTAAATTTGCAATTTATAAATTAATTATTAAATATTTGTTATACTATTTATAATTTTAAATAAATAAAAGAAATACATAAAATAATTTATAATGTTAAATTATTAATGTAATTTTATATTATGACTATAATGAAATATTTATTATTTCTTAAACTATAAAACAAGTAAATTTGCTTACAAACTTTTTTAAATTTTGATTTTATGTTATAGATTACCAAATATAAAAAAAAATCTATAAAAAATTTTACATTATATTCTTTAATATTATTATACAAAAGAATATATTTTTTATATTATTTAATTTAAAAAAAAAATAATATTTATAAACTTCTAAAAGTTAAATAACTGATTTGGTTAATTTATAGACAAATTTACTATAAAATTAATTTTTATAAAGTTAAATAAATATTAAATAAAAAATTTTAACCTATTTTTTTTATTAATTAAATATATATTTATATATTATTTTATGTAATATAATTTTACAATTGTATTAATCATTTTAAATCTACTATGCATTTCCTTTTTCGTTACAAAATTTAAATAACTTTAGCATTTTAACTATAGAATAAACAAATTTATCTATAATAATTATTAATATTTTAATTCATTAAACTTGTTAAAAAGTTTACTTTTTGAAAAAATTTTCATAATGTTTTTTTTTATATGTCTAAAATAATTTATTTTATATAAGAAAATGATAAAGTTTATTTTTATTTATTTATTTAAAATCATAATTCAGATAATTTACATAAGTATATTCAAGTTTTTAGTAGTTAAAAATTATTGAAAAAAAAATATAAATTATTTATCATATAAAATAACTAAATTAATATCTTTATTTAGATAAGTTAATTTATATATTATCTAATTATTTTATAAAATTTTATTATTATGTGAATTAATGTTTACCTATATTTTTATATTTATATTATAAATTAAACTTTCAAAAATTGATCCAATTCTTAATGTTAATAAAATTAATATTGAACTCACCTAATAATTAGCTTTCAACTTATAAAGTATTTAATATACTGTATATGTGGATTAAGCATTTTTAGTGTATTTACAAAAAAAGAATTGCTAATTATACAAAAGGGAATTTCACATATAATAAATGCTAATATAATAGCTTCATTAATCATTGATGTATACATATTTGTAATTGTTAACTTAAGTTAATCAACCACTATTTTTTCTGTTTTTTTCCATTTTTTGGCTAACATTTAATTCATTAAGAGGTACTTCTATTAGAATATTATTCAGATTATTAACTAAAATATAGTTAAAATGATGACACTACTCCTTAAGAATATTATTACAGTTATTAGCAAGATGTGTACATAATAAATTTGGTTTAGCACGTGGATAAAATTTTTCACAATATTGGCAAGTTCCTTCTCAATATCTATCACTTTTAAACTCACCTCTATTAAAATAGTTCTAAATACTACTTTATGAACAGCCTGATTTTATATAGATATCATTTTTATTTTCCTTTTCAAACTCAGTATTACTTGAAATATTATTATGTCTTTCTTGTTCAGTTATTTTTAAGAAGTAATAAATGTTTTTAATTATAGTTGATAAAGAAAAATTTATTAGTATTACTTTTAAGAGATATACAAATAATAATTAAATAAAATATGTGAATTTCTATGATTGGCAATTTATCATTAATAATATTACTTTATTAGTATTAATAATATTTCTCATACAACATGTATAATATAAGAAAATACATGTGTTCTGTGATATTTTTTAAAATTTATGTACAAGTAAAAATTAAAAATTTAGACTTTTTACATTCCATAAAAAAATATCATTTATATATTTATATTTCTTAATTTGAAAATCTGATTTTCTAAATTTGTATAAGTATTTATATTTCTATTATAATTTTATATAAAAATTAAGAATTTATTTGATCAGCAGTGATATGCTAAATAATTTAAACATAAATGTAATATTCAAAAATTGAAAAACCTGTAACTATAATTTTTGATCAAAAATGATAACTTTTGTATGATTTGCATAAAATCTTCAGACTAATTTACACTTTAGACTAATAATTTAAAGTAAATTAATTAATTATAATTTATAATATAATTATATATTATAACTTTAATATGGCATATCATAATTTTAGGACCGTTAGTTGAAATTAGAGTTGCAATCTAAGTTATAACCTAAAATGCTATAATTATTACTTACAGTCAGCAACTTTAATTTTAATAGATTAAATTAACTAAATCAAGAAGTAATATCTTATAATTTTATAAAATTGTAAAGTAAATTATATAAGAATATTCTTTTGCTAAATGAAAACTAACATATTATTTATAATACTATTATATTTTCTATTAATAGTATATATACTTATTTCTTTATTAATAATCCTAATAGTTTTAATAAGATTTTTTATATAATACCTTATTGACTACTATTAGATTATATAAAATAGTATCTTAATTATAGCTTAATTAATTTATTATTTTTAGTATAAAAAATAGTATATCTTTAGATTTAATAACAATTAAAAAAAGTTTATCAGCTTTTATTAACTTTGTTTATTTACGCTTAATTAAGAATTATAAGAATGTGAATTATATGATTGGTAAATCATTTTAACTTTTATTAATATTAAAAAGATTTTTGAGTTGATATTAAATTAATTATCTGATAGTTTATTTAATATTGACTTTGTGAATTTATTTGAGAATAGTAATATATCACAATTTCAGATATATTTATCTGAATTTTTTAAGATTCTTAAAAATTTCAGATCTTTTTTTTAGTAAATTAAAATTAAAAGTAAGAGCTCTGATTATACTATTAAAAAAATTGATTTTATCTTAAAGTCTATATAATAAAATTAGGTTGATTTGTCATACTTTTTAAAATAAAGTAATTGAAGTTAAAATTATCACTGCTCTAATGTTAGAAATTGTATTTTTATCTCTTAAATAATACTAAATCCTTCTAATAGTAATTTATCTTTATTTTAAATTAGCAACAGCTTCTAGTCTGTATATTTTTTATGATTATTAATAAATTTTAGAATTAAACTTTAAATTATATTTGATGATTGTAAAATTCCTAAAACTGTTAGATAAAGAATATATTATTATAATATAATATTTTTATACTCTTTATAAAAAATTTAATAAAATATTTTATTCTATAAAGAAGAAATCTATGTATATATTTATAATAAGTTAAAAAATTGATTTTTTCTTTAATAAAGTAAGTAAAAAATAAATTGTTTACAATTTACTTTTTTGTATTGATTTTATTAATAATAAAGAAAAATAATATTAATTTAAAAGAAAATAGATACACTTATTTAGCTATTAGTATTATTGTAAATTTAGCCTTAACTTTTATTTATGAAAAATGAATAATATAATTTTTAAGATTTTGGTAATATATATCAGTAACAATTTTTTTTTGATTTTAACTATCATTATCACATGTATTATTTCAATTATTATTTATTGTATTACCTAT